CGAATTCCGGAAATTTTTCAGCGCAAATTCTGAAAGTTTTATGAAAAGAGGAAATACATGTGAGATTTGCCAGCTAATTAAACGCCCATTTTAAAATAAGTGACTGCTCAACTGCGCTCTATCTTTTAAAAATTCGGATCTTCCAAACTAATGCAAGCAGCAATATGAAATTTTACCCATCGTTAGAACACACTTAACTCTAAATACGGCGAAAGTTTCATGACAATCTCCGGGAGCCTTAATTTTTGGCAGTTTCGCAAATATTAGTATCAAAAGCGATGACTCAAAACATTGGCGCTCTGCTCTTTCTTTCGAAAATTCGCATCTTCCCAGGTTTAGTAAGTAGTGAGTTTAAAGTTTCACTGTTTCTAGAAGACCATCGACTCTAAATATTCTCAACGCTTGAGGACAATCACCATGAAAATTGACCATTGGCCAGCTTCGTAATAATCGGTGTCTAAATGGAAGGATTTTCCCAACTGCGCGCTCTCCTTTAAAAATTCCGTTCTTCCTAACCAGACCGACCAGGCCCTTCAAATTTTCACCATCTTCAGCAGATACTCGACTCTAAAACTGTTGAAAGTTTCACCAAAATCACCCAGACATTTCAGATTTGCCAGCTGATTCAATGTCGCTCTCAAAGTAATGATTCTTCTCAACCGCGCCCTCGCCTATAAAAATTCGCATCTTCCAAACCAAAAGAAGCAGTCACTTGAAACTTTTGCGGTCTTTAGACAGCACTTGACTCCAAAAACTGGGAAAGTTGCATAAAAATCATCCTACTGGGTAGGTACAAAATCTGGTTGACTACCGGTTTCAAACTGGATCTCCAACCCAACAAGCATAAAATATTTTGTGCAACTGCCTGGAAACCCGAGAAGATTTAGTTTCCTTTTATTCAGGTTTTTTAATGAAAAACTCGTTCGCTGATTGAATTTTCAGCCAAAATTCATAAACCGTTCCGGATGCCTCCAAGTAGTCGATCGAAAGACAATAAAGTCGTCAATCGCACCCCTGCGGCTCCGGCAATGGCAAAATCGCCCACATAAATCATGGAGAAATATGTCAGGCCGCCACTAATCCGATTAAAAATGTTTATGAGGTGTGAAAAATGCCCTCTCTCCACTACCTGACCAACGATTTATCACCGGTGTTTCCCAATCATCAATTCATCCGTTGGAAACACGGTTGTTTACCGCTAAATAATGGAATGTTAATGCTAATTTTTCTGGTTGTTGCAGATTCCGCCCTGGACGATCTGTCCCAAGACTCAGCCATGCACTGTATGCAGAGCGAAGTCTAAATGTCCAGTGTAGATAATAGTCAGAGTGAAGGAAACACATATAATATGCCCAAGCTTTTTGGCAGTGACGCCATGACTGAAACAAGTAATGACGTCACTGCCAAATAGCTTGGAACAGACTATGCATTTAGGGCACAGAGCCCTTGTAAATGTGTACATATAAGTCGAAAAATTATAACTGATGTATTTGTTTTATTTTGTCAAATTTATTATTATTTATAAAAAGCAAATTTTTCGTGTAAAGTCTCGGGGTTTCGGTGTTGTACTCGACGAGACTTCCATACGGAATTGTTCAAAAATGTTGTATATTTACTGTTGTATAGTTAAGGAAGAATATTAAACATTAACATTTAGTTTTCGGGTGTTTTTCTTCCTTGCACCACAAGATCTAAGCAGTGCTCAGATGCATTGATTTTGAACCCAACAAGGTATTTGAATATACTAAGAAGAGCCAGGAAACAACGTGAAAAATCTAATTTTTTTGGCATTTATTTAATTTTCTGACTAACCCTGATGATTGAATACGGCGAAACGTCGGCAATAAGACAAAACTGGCATTTGTGTGTACGCCTATTTACAAGGTGTGTTAAAAGTTATAAGTTAAAAGTTATATCTTCACTGTGGATGTTTTCATCCAACTGCAGTCTCTCCTTTAAAAAATCGAACCTTCCAAATTAACGCAAGAAGCTACTTGAAGTTTTAGCACTTTTTAGAAGACACTTTGCGTGCAATTTTTATTAAAATCACTCAGAGTCCTTAGATTAATCAGCTTGTTAAATGCCGGTCCAAACATTAACGATTTTGCGGAACTGGGCTGGCGCGCTATCCTCTAAAAACTCGAATCTTCTAAACCCGTGATTTTTTGTGTGTGATCTTCAAGTAGTGACTTGAAATTTCAACCATTTTAAGAAGACACTTGCTGCTTAATATACTGAAGTTTTCATAAAATCCCTTAGAATTCTGAGATTTACTAGCTTATTAAATGCCGGGCTAAAAATTCACGATTTTGCGGAATTCTGCTCTCTCCTTTAAAAATTCGCATCTTTTAAACCAAAGCAAGTGGTGACCTGAAATTTTTACCATACTGAGAAGACGCTTGACTCTTCAGCCGTGGAAATTTGCATAAAAATCGTCGGGAATCCTGACATTTACCAGTTTATTGAACGTCGGTCTCAAAACTTTTGATTCTGCGGAACTGCGCTCTGCTCGACTAAATTTCGAATGTTCCAAACGAATGCAAGTTCGTAATTGAAACTTTACCCATTTTTAGAATGCACTGGTTTTTGCCCACTGTCAAAGTTTCATAAAAATCACTGAGAATCCTGAAGTTTACTAGCTTATTAAAGGTCGGTATGAAACTAGGATTTTGCGAAACTGCACTCTCTCCATTAAACATTTTTCTCTCCCAAACCAAAGCAAGTAGTAGCTTGCAACTTTAACGACTCATAAAGGGCACCTGCCTGGAGCAATTCTGAAATTTTCATAGGAAACTCTCAGAAAGCTGGAATTTATCAGCTTTTTATCTCTGTCTCAAAAACAATAGTACTCTTGAACTGGGCTGTCCTTTAAAAATTCGCATCCCCCAGACTAACGCAAGTAGCAACTTGAAATTTTCACCGTCTATAGAGCATCCCTGACTTTATATATGCGGAAAGTTTCATAAAATTTAACCGAATTCCGGAAATATTTCAGCGCAACAAATATTTACATCAGAGTGGACGTTTTGCACCAACCGCGCTCTTTCTTTCAAAAAGTCCCGTTCTACAAACTAAAGCAAGTAGAAGTTTGAAAATTTTATCATCGTTAAAAGCCAGTACACTCTAAAGATGCTGAAAGTTTCAAAAAATAGCTGTTTTTGACAATATTAAAATTGGGAAATATCGCAATAAAAATGCTTGCTTTTACTCAAATGCGTTCTCGGCTTCAAAAATTCGCATCTTCCTAACTAAATCCCGCACACATTTGAAATTTTCACCATCGTTAGAAGACACCTTCAGACTCTAAAGATGGTGACAACCTGGGGCATTAACCCTGCGAATGCCTAAATAAACATTACAAAACATCGGCAATAAAAAAACTAAGCTCAAGTGAAAAAATCATCCAAATCCAACTCCTTCCTCCATCTAGTATCAAGAACGTTCAGCTGAAGAATCAGCCTCACAGATAACCACCGAATGGCGTCACCACAAACGCTTAATCTTGACAAATTTACGAACGAAGAAGCAGAACAGGATGGAAATTCTTCATAAACATAGATTAACGAATGGCAAGCATAATTAGCACAAGACGTTCAAGAAAGTGCTGCAAAAAATGCATTTCATCTAGAATGTGACATACGTTTACCATTCGAAGCACTTCACATGCAATTTATGGCTAAAACCCCAGAAGAGCCAGCTGGGCGACCATAAAGGCATGAATTCCCCTAAGTGGGAGCTATAGTGTGTTCATAGTCATGTGCGAGCATGCAGAAGACGTTGAGCCAAGAATTTCACGAAGTAAAAGTCCTTAAAAGGGTGTTTTTCAATGTTATTTCAACATCTCCCTAAATAGCATTCGGGTTCATGCGCCTAAAACTGCCAGTAAAAAAAACTAAACAGATGAACATTTCCAAAAAAAATTGTTTTTTCGAGTGTTTCACATTTTAGCAATTTGAAAATTTTCCGATCGTCAGAAGACTCCTCACTCCTTAGGAAATACTTGTCTTAAAGAGGATGTTTTTACAAAACTGCGGTCTTGCCTGTAAAAATTCATAAGTTTCAATGTAAAGCAAATAGCGACTTTACATTTTCAACGTGTTTATAAAACCCTTTAGTCCCAATATCAGTGAAGTTTTATTAAAATCGGCCAAAATCCTGCTTTTTGCCAGACCAAAGTAAATTTAGGTCACAAAATGGATGTTTTCAACCAACTGCGCGTTTTCATTTAAAATTTCAAGTTTTCTGAGGTAAGCAAGAACTTGAAATTCTCTTTATCTATAGCAGAGGGCTGACGTTAAATATGCTGAAAATTTTATATAAATTTCCCGGAATTCTGAGATTTGCCAGGTTGCTAAATGTCGGTCCAAAATTAATTTAATTTTCCTGTTGAACTGCGCCCTCTTTTATAAAAATTCATCACTGTCAAACTGGAGCAGGTAGCAACCTGAAATTGCTACTGTCTTTAGAGTGTGCGTGGCTCTAAAAATGCTCAAAGTTTTACAAAAATCCCTTCGATTTCTGCTATTTGGCAGCTTAGGAAATATTGGTCTCAAAATTGAAGTTTTATCCTACCAAGCCATCTTTTTGAAAAATTCACTCATTTGAAACTGAAACAAGTAGTGACTTGAAATTATTGTCACCTTTAGAAGAAACTCGACTCTTAAAGATTCTGAAAGTTTAATGAACTGTCCTCAAACTCCTGATTTTTTCCCACTCGGTAAATGTGGGTCACAATTTTAGTAGATATCGACTTCATATGGACTCTTTTTTTAACAATTCATATCTTCTACACAAAAGCCAGTAGCCATTTGAAATTTTCCACGTTTTTAGATGACATTTAGTGCTAAATATTAATGGAGATTCAAAAAAATCACGCATAGTATACTGCAATTTGCCATTTTAGGAATTATTTGCTTTATATGCTTTTGACCAACTGCACTCGTCCATTTAAAAATTCACATTTGCCAAACACTAGCAGGTAGCACCCAGAAATATTAACCATTTTAGAAGACAACTTGTCTCTAACGATTCTGCCAGTTTCATAAAATTTGGCAAAAATCCTGATTTTTGACCGCTCAGCAAATGTGGGGCTCAAAATTAGCATGGTCGCATAATGGAAGATTTCACTCAAAACGCTTTGTTATTTAAAACTTTACAGCTTCCAAACCAAGACTGGTAGCAACTTGAAATTTTCATCACCTTTAGAAGACACTCGACTTTAATGATTCCGAAAGTTGTATATAAATCGCCCGGAAATTGGCCAATTTTCCGGCTTTCAAAACATGTGACTCAAACTGGACATTTCGTGCCAACTACGCTCTCCCGTTTAAAAATTCGCTTTGTCTCAACCAAAGCAAGTAGCAACCTGAAATTTTTACTGCCGTTACTAGACATCTGAAGAAAGCACACAAAAAAATTTAAGCAACGAAGGACTTCTGGAAGAAAGGAAGAAAAATCCTGGGAATTGTTAGAAGCCTCAAGAAGAAAAAAACTGCAGCTCAAATGCTGAGGACTGTTCAGTACACACACTTGGAAACGCCTGCACCCAAACCTGAACCGACTCTACCAGCATGTCCACCATAGCGTGCATCTTTTCATTCTTTTTCCGTACACAAAAACCCATGCTGACACGGTAAAACAGACCAGTTTGGACCAGAGTTGAGTTGGAAGTTCAGGTCCAGATTGTCCGGTCGCATCTTGCGTCCCGAATATGCACGCAAAGTGCGCTAAATCTTTTAGAAAAACGAATTTTCTATAAATACTCGGCTGCATTTGATCGTGGGAACTACCACTTTTCTGCAGACAGTAAAAGTTTCAGTTTGGTTTGCCGTTTCAGGTCGGTTTGTGTTGACTTAGATCGAGGCCGAAGTGACCATACTGGACATTCAATGTAAGTAGAGCTTTTGATTGTTGATCGCTATCTGATGGATTAGCCGACGTTTCACTTTCAACCAAACGCCAATACCCTGAAGATGATTAAACAGGATTTCCGGTAACACCGATGGATTGAAAGGATTACAAACCGATTTACTTGCGACAGTTGACTGCACTAATCCAGGCAAAGATAAACGTTATTTAGTAGTTATCGAACTTGCGGTAAACCGCGATTTTCGTCTAAATAGATTCGCAACACCAGTAGGCAGCTGAATCCGAAAAATTAACCGTGCAGATCTCTTTCCTCTGAAGCCCGAGTGATTGAGTAAGTTTGGAACGTTCTGACTACCCATTAAGCAATGACGCACCCAGTTTGAAAAATCCTTAATTTTCCGCAAAAAAATTAATTGTTAATTTCCCAGCTAAAAATACATGTGCTGGTTAATTATTAGAGCGTTGTTGGCAGCAGCAAAAATCCATCATGATCCAGCTGGGCGTTAGCATGTAAGTACAGTGGAAAAACAATCTAAAAATGTATCGGCAACTGGAAACTATCTGCTAAGTACGCACTTTAAACCTCATTAATTTTACTAGAAAATGATAATTATTTTACTATTTTTACCAGCTGGGTTTGGTGTTGTAGAGCCAGTCGGGAAAGTAAAAGTTGAATGGGCAGAGGACAGGTAGAACGTTGACTGGACGACTGCAGAACATGGCTAGAGATTAGGGGTTGGTTTGACAAAAGCATATTTCGAGAACAATTTACCTGCTTCATCCCTGAGAGCCAGGGGCAAGAAACCCCATGAAAATATAGGGTTTCGTTACTAAACGTTTCTCTGTTACATTGGCGTCTTTTAAGCCAGTCGCTAACTCATATTTACCAAGCTGGCAAAAATCAGGACTTTGCGTCATATTTAGGAAACTTTCCCCATTTGTAGATTAACATGTCGCCTATCGATGCGAAAACTTTCAAGTCGCTACTTCTTTTGGTTTGGAAGCTAGCAATTTTTAAATGAGTGAGCGCAGTTAAGCAGAGTGATAAATTTTGAGACCGAATTTAATCAGCTGGCAAATCTCCAGGATTTCGGGCAATTTCTAGGAAACTTTCAGCATCCTTACAGTCAAGCGACTGTCTGGTAAAGATGTTGAAAATTTCAAGTTTCTACGTGCTCTAGCTGAGAAGATACGAGTTTCTGGATGAGCGAGCGCAGTTCAACAGAATCATTTCAAGAACTTCGAGAGCTGCATTCAATTTACTGGCAACTCTCAGCGTTCAGGGTGAATTATATGAAACTTTCCCCATATTAAGAGTGAAGTGTTTCCAAAAGGTGTTGAACGTTTGAAGTCGCCACTTACTGTAATTTGGAAGCGGAAAATTTTTAAAGGCGACAGGACACTTCATCAGAATCGTCAAGATTGAGACCCACCTTTAATGAGCTGGCAAATCTGAGTATTAAGCCTGATATTTATGAAAGTCTGAGCATGTTGAGCAACATCTATTTGCTACAGATGCTGAGATTTTCAAGTCGCGACTTGCTTAAGTTATGGAAATGCGATTTGTTTAAAGAGGGAGCGCACGTCGGAAAATTAGTTCATTTTAACGCCGACCTTGAATCAGCTAGTAAATTGGCAAATTCTTGTTGATTTTTCTAAAACTCACCGGATATTGAGGGCTAAGTGTCGTCTACTTACGGCCGAAATTTCAAGTTGCCACTTGTTTCAATCGGGAAGATATGCATTTTTCAATCAGAGGGCGCAATTCAGCAGAATGATTAATTTTGAGACCGACGTTTAATAAGCTGGCAAATCTGACAGGTATGCGTAATTTTTGTAACGCTTGAAGCAGTTTGAGAGACATCTATTGTCTAAAGATGGTGAAATTTTCAAGTTGCTACTTGCTTTCGCGAAGAAGATAGGAATTTTTAACCGAAACAGTGCTGTTCACAAAAACCGTTAATTTCGAGACCTACGTTAAATTAGCGGGAAAATCTGAAAATTTGGGTGATTTTCGTAAAACTTTCAGTCTTAGTAGAGTCAAGTGCGCTCTAAAAGTTTTCAAAATTTTGCGTTTTTACCTGCTTTCGTTTGGACGAGGCGAATTTTTAAATGGACGATGCAGATTTGATTAGAAACACTCATTAAACACCGAATTTTACATATTTCCAAGCTCACATTTACTAAGCCGGTATAAATTCAGTTTCAGGGCGATTTTTATGAAGTTTTCAAAACTTGTATAGGCAAATGTCTTCTAATAATATGGAAAATTTCAAGTTGCTGCTTGTTTTAGGTTGAAATGGGCGAATTTTTCGAGAAGTGAGCGCAGTTCAGCAGAATCATAAATTTTGTGAAGGCAAATCTCAGGAATATGGGCGGTTTTGATGCAACTTTCTGAACCTTTGGAGTCAAGCGTATTTGAGTAAAAACGTCCATTCTAAAACGATTTAGCCGAAAGGCAAAATAGCGGAATATTTTTAATTTGCGGATTTTTATAGTTACTTTAGTTTTCTCATCTTTATACGTTTTTCCATTTGCTATTTTTGTATTTTGTAATTAACCGAAACTTTCTGCTAGCCAAATCTGTGTCCTGTTCACGCCGTATTTGCCCATTTTTTCTAAATATACCGAGACTGATCGCTTTTAGGACGATGTCATTGTCTGCACTGTCTACCTTTCTCGGCCGATTTCAATCTCATTTTAAATCCAGTTAATGGCCTCTAACAGGCTAATAACCATAACAATTATAGCTAGTCTTATGGTTAGGCGTTATAAAATCGTACAAGTGTTCCACTAATAGCCCACATGTCTTGGTGTAATAACGATGTTTCGAAGCATTCGCAAAATAAATACGGTGCAGTTAAACCAAATCGCTACCAAACTCTATTCAGTCCCGAGCAAAAATAATAAATATACGATTTAATGGTTTGTTGCTGTTTTTGGAAAGCCATGAAAGTTTAACTTTTTCGTTCGTCAGAAGCGACAATAAGAAAATTAAAAGAGTTTTGTGGTAATTGCCAGACGGTGAAGCGTTTTCTTTAAAAATTCAGATCTTCCCATCTGAAGCAAGTACGGACATGAAATGTTCCCCATTGGTAGAAGAGACCTTGTTCTAACGACGATAAATGTTTCATAAAATTTTGCCGAACTCCTGAGATTTCCGGATTTTTCAAAGGCTGTTCTCAGTGAGCGATTTTGCTAAATTGCGCTTTGTCTTCTAAAATTCGGAACTTCCAAACTAAACCAACTGGGGGCCTGAAATTTTCACTATCTTTATATAGCACTTTGCTCTAAAAGCTGGGAAAGTTCTGTAAAATTCTCACAAAATCCTGAGATTTGCCAGCCTATTAAATGTCGGTCTTAAAATTAGTGATTTTCTTGAATTGTGCTCTCGCATTTAAAAATTGGTATATTCCCGACTAAACACAGCAGCTATTTGAATTTTTCACAGTGTTTAGGCGATACCTGACGCTAAAGATCGTGAAAGTTTCATCAAAATCACCGGAAAATCTGATATTTGCCGGCTTTTTAAATGTTGGTCTCACAGTGAGTGATTTTGCTAAATTGCGCTTTTGCCTTTAAAAATGCATGTCTTGCCGACCAAGCGCAGCAGCGACTTGAAATTTTCAGAATCTTTAGAAGATACTTGACTTGGTTCAAACGATTCGCAAAGTTCAATTAGTATCTCCAAAAGTCCTCAAATTTGCCAGCTAAAAATGACGACTTCAAAATTGATTATTTCGTTGAATTGTGCTCTCTACTTAAAAAAGTTCTTATGTTTCAAACGAAACCGACCAGCGACTTGAACTTTTCAGCAGCTTTCAAAGGCACTTGGTTCTAAAGATTCTAAAAGTTTCATAAAAGTCGCCAAACACTCAGAAATTTTCCTGCTTATTAAATGTTGGTCTCAAAATTAACAAATCTGCTGAATTGCACTCTCCCTTTTAAAAATTGGTATTTTTGCAACCGAACAAAGTGGCGACTTGAAATTTTCACCCTCGTTATAAAACACCTGGTCCTAAAGATTCGCGAATTTTGATGAAAATCGCCCAAAACCTTGATGTTTGCCAGCTGATTAAATATCGGTGTTACAATTAGTGATTCTGCTAAATCCGCTCTCTCCTTTAAACGTTCGCGTCTTTCAAACGAATTAAAGTAGCAACTGGACATTTTCACAGTCTTTAGAAAATAGTTCTCTGGACAAATTGTGAAAGCTTCATAAAGATCACCCAAAATCCTGAAATTTGCCAACTTATTAAACGTCGGTCTCAATATTAGTTACTTTTCTGAATTGTGCTTTCTCCTTTAGCAAGTCGCATATTTCAAGGCAAAGCAACTTACAACTTGAAACTTTCACCAACCTTAGCAGACCTGTACCTGAAAAGAGTCTGAAAGTTTCATAAAAATCGCCCGAAATCCCGATTTTTACCAGCTTATCAAGTGTCGGCCTCGAAAATAGGTAGTTTACTGATTTGCACTTTCTCCTTTAAAAATTCGTATCTTCTCAACAAAACGCAGGAGCGACTTGAAAATTTCACCGTCTTTTGCAAATACCTGATACTAAAGATTCGCAAAGTTGCATCAAAGTCGCCCACGATCCTGATATTTTCCTGCCGATTGAATGTCGGGCTCAAATTAGGGGATTTTCCGGTTTGCGCCCTCACATTTAAAAATTCGTATCTTCCCAGCTAAACTAAGTAACGACTTGAAGTTGCCCCCTTCTTTAGAAGACACTTGAGTGGCCAGAAGTTTAAAGTTTCGCAGAAATCGCCCAGAATCCTTGAGATTTGCCAGCTATTTAAATGTCGGTTTGAAAGTTGTTCACTTTGCCGAATGGCGCTCTGTTTTCTGAAATTTTCTATCTTCCCAGCTGAAGCAAGTAGCAACTTGAAATGTTCACCAGCGTGAGCAAACACTTGACACGCTGACAATTTTATGAAAAACGGCCGGAATCCAGCTGTTTGCCAGCCTTTCGTCTTCTGGCGGCATCGTGCCAGAAATGTTGGAACAATAGGAAGCTGCAGCTCATTAGCTATTTAAAAAACATCTCAAAACAATTATGCAACGTTCGTTATCCAGTCAAACTCCAGAAATCGACCATCTGGACTGCACAGGCTTCTCAATACGACTCAAATGAGGTTTCCAAATGGAAATCCACTTAGCGCGCCATTATCGTAACCGGCTAAAGCTCTCAGATAGCCAGATAAAACCATTTCGCACACATTTATAGGTGAATGTCGTTCATTTCACAGTCGAAACTAGTCAGTGTTTTCGATTTCTTTCATACAAACAGCCGGCGAAAATGAACAATTTTATGTACAGTTCGGCGGCCGGAAGCTTTAGCGACCGCATGTTCTTGCAATTGTGTGGATTTTTGCCGAGCCAAATGTAACGTGAGTAGTTGAAAACGGTTTAAACTGCAATTTAGGCTAATGCTCAGAACAAGGGTGGTTTCCAGGGGTTTTTGTTAAGCACGCAAATTGCACGGGGTTCGGCGGTAAAACTTCGAAGATTTTCGCCTTGAAGCGTTCCACTTAAGCAGCTGCAAATCGATTAGACAAGCACATTTCTCTTTAAACAATTATGACTGGAAAGCGTAAAGGTGGCGTAAATAAAATAAAATAAAGGCCAAGGTAGAGCGGCTTTGGCTCACGTTTCTAGGCTAATTGATATTGCATCGATCTAACCAGGGGTTTGTTTGGAACTCGTGTGTTCACCCTATGGGATTGAAGAAACTGCTGCGTTTCTGGTGGTGGAAAGAATTTTTTGCCGACAATCTTCAGAGGATGGTGGCACGAAAAGCCCCAGAAGCTCACCAGTTGCCCGCCACATGACCAGTTTTGTCGTCAATTTTTTCCCGTTCGATTGTAATTTGATTGTTCTTAAAATACCCTCGAAGCTGATGAATTATAAAGGCCGGGAACGGAGTACATATTGATTGATTGGCCGGATTAGTTCCTAATAACCCACTCGAGACTTGTAATTGTTCAGGTGGAATGTGGCGGATTAGTTGTGAGCACAATTCGTTAAATTTTTCAACAGATTTTGCAATGCGGCGATTAAATGTGTCATGTGGTTGAGAGGAGGACGAATCCCAAGCAGAACCGGACTTTTTCGCTAGAAAAAAGTCTGGGCTTTTGTGAGTAGCGAAAATCTGGGCTTTTTTGAATAGTTTCAAATTGCAAAATCCGCGCTTATTTCGTCTCGTTCCGCGCTGTAAAGAAGGAAGGTTTCAGAAAATATTTTTCTCCAGCCAGTCTAAGTGTCTTCCAAATTGTTTAGGCACATGGAGCCGTCGGTCGAAAGCCAGAAATTTTCGCATTTTTCCGTTTTCTTTTACTGTAAAAATTGGCCTTTTTTGGGCTTGTTTCGAGGTGAACCAGAGGGCGGGTTTCAAAAAACCGTTTTACTCCGGATAATTCCGGTCGTTGTTACGTCGTGAAACTTTCGCTTTTTTCAGTTTTTCCGAGTTTCTAATTCGGGGCCCTGAGTTCATTTTTCCCGCTGTGAAGAGTTTGGAAGGTTTCAGAGGGCGATTTTTTTTTCAGATGAATTCAGACACAGTTTCAGCGTCTTTGGAAACTTTCGGTATCCGAAAACTGCGTTCGTGAGCTTGAAAACTTCGCGTTTTTCAGGTTTTTTTTGGAATTTTAAAATCGGGGTTTAATAGAGCTGGTTTGAAGGTGAAGCTTGTGAAAGGTTTTAAAAAACCGAAGATTTTCCGGAAGGAACTTCCGGCATCTAAAGGCTGCCCTTTAAACCATGAGATTTTCGCTTTAATCCATGAGAAAATCTCCTTAATTGGGCTCGTTTCGCAATAAAGAATACAGAAGATTAAAACAAGGCAATTTTCCGGATACTTTCGCCCAAAGTTTCAGCATCTTTTGCAACTTCCGGCGACTGAAAACTCTTTAGGGACTTCCGGCATTCGAAACCCGTGTTCAAACGAACTTTCCCGCATAAATCTTGATATAACTCCAGTGTTTTTAGAAGTTTCAATGGTTTGAAAAGTTCATAAGAAAGCTGAAATTCTACAGTTTTTTCCAGTTTTTCGCATTCGTTCAATCGGCTATTATTGCGGTTTATCCCGCGATGAATAGTGCGGAAGGTTTCAAAAAACCAACATGTTTGCATAAATTCGGGCATAATGTCAGCGTCTTTAGGAACTTCCGGCATCTAAAAGCTGCATTCGGATGCCCGAAATATGCGCTTTATTTGAGTTTTTCAAATTTTGCAATTGTGCTTTAATTGGGCTTTTTCCGCGGTGAATAGTGTGGAAGGTTTCAAAAAGCGAACTTTCTCGCATTCATCCGGACATCATTTCAGCGTCTTTAGCAACTTCCGGCATCTAAAAGCTGCATTCGGAAGCTCG